ATATTCCTGGGTCTAAAGTATAGCTGGGGCAATGCCAGATGGTCCTCCCAGGAAATTGAGCTTGTCCCCAGCATTGGCAATCTAGTGACGCTATCAAACAGGAAATGCTTTATTGTCTATTATAAAAGAACTAGAGGCCTGGTGCATGAATTCGTGCACGGGTGGGGTGTGGCCGGCAAGGGTGGGGTGTGGCCGGCCCGCCCTGATCGGGGTCAGGCCAGAGAGGGGGAGGGGCCGCAGGAGGTTGGCCAGCCAGCCCCACCCCCAATCAGGCCGGTTGGCCGGCTGCAGTGCACGTCATAGCTACCAGTTTTTCCAGTTGTTCAGTCACTTGGCTTTTATATATATAGATGAGGGTAGCAATGGTTAAAGATTGATCAAGGGAAGGAGGTTGTTAGATAATTGAGACTTCTGCTGATTTCTTGGCATTTTGGCTAAGACCAGCAATTGTGGTCTTAGAATAATAGGGTAGAACTATTATGTGAATAAAGTAATAATAGCTAACTAATGAATACATACTATGTCCCCAGCACTGTGCTCGAGATTTATATACATTAATCCTTGCAACAAACCTATGATGTCAGTGTCATTATCATCATCCCTACTTGCAGATTAGGATATTCATGGACATATTTGCAGTGGATTCTGAGGTGCCAGCTCATAGAGTTGCCCAAAGCCTTACTTTGGTAAGTGGCGGATTTGAACCATGATGTGTTTGACTTTAGAGCTGGAGATTGATTTTATGCCTAACACTATCATTCCACCCCAGCATTTACAGAAAACAGTGCTGCCTCAGGTGTGCTGTCTCTGGAGCTTTGGGAGGCTCTGTGGTGCTTTGCCTTCCTTGCTCAGGTGACATTTATCGGGGAGCTTCTCGATCTTGCATTTTGCTCCCCAGATATTTACTGAGGAGTCTCACCCAGGCTTGTCTTCCTCAGTTCAAATTACTTGTGCTCTGGCCTCTGCTGACAACAGGATTATGTCCATCGATCATTGGAAAAAACGGTTTCAGTGGTGACATTTCTCCTCTGCTGGAAGAGCAGTTTAATTTTCATGCTGCTGTGGATGGGCCACAGCTAGGCTTGGTAAAAATCAAAACTTAAAGTTAGCCAAACCCTAAAAATGCTAATAGTATTTGGTCAATTGAATTTCTATATAAATTCTGAGAGGTGCTAGGCAGGGTCAGATTGATAATAATGCTCGATGTAGGGCCTGGTGCCCACGGGAGAGGTGTGAACAGGTTCCTTCCGGCCACCTTTCCTCTCCCTTGAACTTTACCCAGCAAATCTCCTTCTTTCCCAGGTCTGAGGTCAGGCTCCTCATCTTCGTGTTCTGAGACTGTGATTCCTAGGGAACTTTTCAAAGTGCTATAGAATTAAAAACAAGAACGAAAAGATATTATTAACTATGCCTAACATGCCTGGTGCACTTCGTCTCCTGGGCTAAGCATACTATCATTACCTGTTCAAGGAAGCTTTATGATCCTGAGAAGTTGCCTATCTCCCTTGAATCACAGACAGCAAATAGCAGAGTTGGGATTTGAACTTTGAACTTTGAGCCTTGAGCATGAACTTTTTGCCAAAATCCATGTTTCTATATTACCAAACACTCCCTGCCCAGGCGAGGCCCTGTACAATGCCTTGCAGAAAAAATACAGCATAGATCAATCAGTTATGATCACTCTTCAAAGAGTCTACAATCTGATTAGTAAGATGAAATATTAAAAACACAAAAGTTACTGACACAAAAAAAGGAAAGTTGTACTTCAAAAAAGGTTGCTTGGAATACAAAATTGGTTGGCGAGTAGATTTTACTAACCCTAATTGTAGTAGAATTCAGAGGGGGCCTCTGGTTCAAGGTAGAAGGCCTCAGGGTGGAGGTAGGGCTTAGTGGGCCACGCAGAAAGACTGGGTTCCCCACAATTCCCGGGAGGAACCCTCCCAGAGAAAGCAGGGCCAACTCCAGGATAAAGACAGGCAAGTACAGACCAGGACATAGGGGTGAGGCTGGGCTGGAAAGACTCTTGCAGGACAGATTCAGGGGCTGGATGTTATGCCTAACAGCATCACGCCACCCGCAGCGTTCCTATAAAATAGTGCTGCCTCCTCAGGTGTGCTAGCTCTGAGTGTCAGGAGGCTCCGAAGGTTCTGAGCATGAGATGGATGCATGCAAAATGATCTCCTTGCTTAATCACTTAGGACGGCAACAGGACAGTTGGTGTTATTTGTCATTATGTAGATGCCCAGCATCTATTTATAAGTAAAAAAATTTGTCATTATGTAGATGCCCAGCATCTATTTATAAGTAAAATTTTAAGTAGAAATAAAACACACATATGAGAAAAGTGTGCACTTCATAAGCAGATAGCACTTTAAATTTTTATAAAGGAAAACAACTATGTAACCAGCAAATACATCATGATTTAGAAAATGTCACCACCCTAGAAGGCTCTCTCCTACTCCCACCCAGTGAGTAATCTCCAGAGGTTATCCCTGTTCTGATTTCCATCACCATACATTAGTTTAGCCTGCACTTTAGTTTTGTATAAATGGAACCATATACCACACAATCTTTAGTGTTGGGCTATTTTTCTCAACATAATGTTTGGGAGATTTATCTAGACTCTTTCCTGCAGTGTATCTCATTCATTTCATTGCTGTGTGTTATCCCACTGCATCACTATATCTCAGTGGATGTAGCTGTTCTGATGTGGATGGGCACCTGGGTTGTGTCCAGCATGGGGCGATCGTGAAGACTGCTGATACGAACATTCTGTGTGCAACACATTTTGCAGAGCCTTCCCCATGCAGGAGAGCCCAGGTTACGAGTTCTGCCTTCCCCAAGTGGAAATTAGACCTCAGCTGCCCACTTCCCCAGCTGTGGTGGCTTGTGACCTAGGCTTTGCCAATTAGATGGACCAGCCTATGACTTCAGTTTGAGGGGAAATCATGAGGAAGCAGCTGGTGAGAGTGATGAGTGAAGAGACTGAGCTTCCAGGGCCAGAGTGGCGCTGTAGATGATGCCTGTGATGCCAGCACCAGACATGGCACTCCGCCTCCAAGCAGTCCCGGGAGGTCCCCTGCTATTGTCCCCATGTCCCAAATTTCAAAGCCTGATTCTCTCACCAAACTTCTTTGAGCCCCTTTAATAAATTCTTATTCTGCTTAAAGAACCTAGGATGGGTTCTTTTATTCCTGAAGAGAAGGAAGTATTAGAACAAGACTAGATAAGCCTTATTTGACCACCATGGGAACAGGAGATATAATGACTCTTTTAGAAATGTGGACAAGTCCCATTTAATGCTTAAAAGCATGGACTCTAGAGCCAGTCTTTCTGGGTCAATTCTTTATGACTTGCAAGCTGTGTGACCTTGGGCAAGTTACTCAACCTCTCTGTGCCTTAGTTTCTTCATTGTAAGATAGTGAGAAAGCACAGGTTGTTGTAAGGATGAAATGGGTTAATTTATGGCACAGCATGGTCCAACACCTGGCACAGTAAGTGCTATGTGTGTTTGCTGTTTTCACTATAATTACTTATGACAGGCTCCTGGGCTCTTTCAGATAAAAACTGAGTCAGCAGGAAAGTGCCAGCAGGAGTAAGTGACTCATTTGAGCAGTATTATTTGCACAGTGGGAACCTCCAGTGTGTTTGGTTCAAAAGAATGGAGGAAGGGAACTGTAGTGGTCAAAGAGGGTGGGCAGCGATGGCCTTGACCGACTTGGGAGCCCCACTTCCAGGGTGCTGAGGGCTCCCTCTGCTCCTCACCATTCCCTTCTCTTTATTTCTATTCCCTCCTCAAACACCAGAATCGGTTTTCTTTATGTGAAATCAAGTGTGTGTGTCCCTCCAGTCCCAGGGCCTTACATTACAATCTGGGGTCCCTACTTTTCCACCGAAGCCTGATTCTTTTCTGGTAATTTCTCAACCCACAGAGAGGAGACCTCTTTTGTGGGATGCAGAGGTTTGCACAGTAGATTTTCGCCTCTGAGGCAGGAGGCCTCTCATGTTGTAGGCTAGGTGGGGCTTGCAGTATGAAAAGCCCAACAAAACATCAGAGACCCCTTCCTGAGAGTCAGGGTGCTGCACCGCAGGGATTGGCACTGTCAGGGCAAGTCCTACCACGTGGCAAATCTGAGCCGGGGTCCAGGCCTGGGATTTGGGGCAGGAGTGCGTGCTTCCTTCTCGGAGTTCCTCCCTCAGAAGGGGTCCAACTGCGTTTAGAGTAGTGATTGAACGGTGAGTATAACCCTCTATGTGACCAGCACTGTCCCTACTTCAAACATTCTGCCCTGTTTTTCCTACTAGGAAACTTCAATTTCTTAGCCCAAATGCCCTGATTTCTATTTCTGTAAATATGGTCAGCACAGGTGTGTTATTAGTCTGAGAGAGCAGAAAAGAGGGAAGGTGGTCTCCCCTGAGCCTAATCTGGGGTGTGAGCTGCACCGAATTGAATTCCATAGAAAGGGTAGGACACATGCTTGGAGAAGCCCAGGGCTGGTCCCCATGGCCATCCACACCAGCAGGTCTGAGCTCTCTATGCCCAGATGCCCCTTCCACTACTGAGCCAAACATCCCTGAGGCCCTGAGAACAGTTTTGCTAAGTCCGGGGGTGTCAAGGATGAGTGCAGCTGAGGTCTTGTCCTGGGGGATTTACACTGAGGAAAGGATTGGACAAGCACACAAAAAACTGCAACATAAAGTAGAAAACAGAAGCACCATAAAGGCCTGGACTACTTATGGTGCATCTTTTTCTCATGCACAAGAATCACGCAGTTTTCTCTGAGGCTGCCCTACACTGTTACTTGATTTTTGCTTAGCTCTCGCTGTACTAATATTTTTCCTCATGTGTCACTCCAACCTCATTACACTGCACATGACAGAAACTGCAACTGAGAATGCAGACTTCAGTGCTGGCTTCACCCAAAGGTGCAGCATATCATCGCCCCCTCCCCACTCATCCACCCTTTTTGAAACATGTCTTTCCGTTCTGTTTTCTGCAGCATCAACTTCACCCTACGGCTGGCTCTCCTCCGGTGACAGGATGATTGCTGATTGTCCAGAGGCCGTTTGGTTCTCATCCACATCCAAGTAAAGAGACAGCTCTTCCCAGAGTAGCCATGCACACAGTAACATGCATGACAAAAGAATACTGAGCTCCTGACGCCAAATGCCTGCATTCAGGTCCCTTCCCAGTTTTCTCCCAGGCTGTTGAGAGGGCATTTGCTTGACGTGTCTGCACTGAAGAGCCTGCTCCAGGAGTTCTCAAGAAGGCCCAGTTTCGGCCCCAAAGGGGAATCCACGTCTCCCAACTTCTGGGAGAAATAAAATTGGTATAGTTTTCAAAACGCTCCCAAAGTCTCCCTGACTCCTTTTCCACTTTTACTTCTAAGATTTCGTAACTTTTACAGCTCAGTCTACGCAAGAGCATGCAGCTTGCGCCCCCCCCCCCCCCCCCCCCCCCCCCCCCCCATCTGCATCTGCACCCACGGCACCAGGAGAAGCTGAATCCAGCATGAAGACACGGAGCCCCAGGGAAATTTGCTCGGGGTCTTTGGTGCTCTACAGCAGGATAAAGGGATTCCTTGCCTGGGCAGCCAGATAGCCTCAGTGCATGACAATTTGGGCAGGCCATGACAGTGACAAGATATGGATTCAAGAGCATATATGCTGTTGTTTGACCTTCACAAAGTCACTCACTCTTTCTTGGAACACTTTCTTTACTAAGCTTCTGGGACACCACACTCTCCAAACTCTCCCCTGTCTCCCTGCTGCTTCTTCACTTTCTCCTGCCAGCCTCCTCCTCCTCCTAACCTCTGAATAGTATTTTGCTTCAGGGCCCTCTCCTGGACCAGCTTCTCAGGTATGGTTTGAAGAACTCTGGATTAGGTTCTACACTTGTGGAATCAGCTCCTCCCACCCCTAATAGCTTTGGACAATTCAGATAAAATTTCCCCTCCCTCTCTCTTCTCTCTCCAGCACCTCCTTCCTTCCTTTCCTCTCCTCCTCCCTTCCTCCTTTTTTTTTGTTTTTTTGTTAAATTATCCGGATACTGTCTCCCTCTACAAGTAGTAATTAGGGTTGCCAGATATGGCAGTTAATTGCTAACATTTTTTCTCTTAACTTGCCTAGAATAAGACAAAGAGGATTTTCGCTGTTATCAGTGAGAAATGCTTTGTTGCCCTAAAAAATCAACTTAAACTGACCCTCTTGGGAAAGAATCCATGAAATACAAGAGGGGAAAACAATGACTCTACAGAAGAGCTTGTTCCCACCCCTTGGAACAGAGTCCCTTTTACCAACCTGTTTGATCAGCTGGGGGAAAAGCATCCTCATTTACATAACCTCCTGGCCCTTTGTGTTTCAAGGTGGCACAATTCCAGGGACGCAGTTTCTATATGAATGAAGGAGACTGAAGGCCCACAAATGCCCATCAGACATTCACTGATACAGCTTCTGGAGATTGTTCAGGACTTCTCATTATTTTCATCTGTTACAATCGTGTGTGGAATGATCTAATATTTACAAATTTGTATGCTCTCTTCAACAATCCAATCACTGAGTATTAACTTAGAAAATAGCTGTGCATCATTTGGGTGCCTGCTGCATATAAATTCTCCTATTGGGTGCTGCAGGGGTGCAGCCGTGGGCAAACTACGGCCCGTTTGAAATGAATAAAACTAAAAAAAAAAAAAAAGACCGTACCCTTTTATGTAATGATGTTTACTTTGAATTTATATTAGTTCACACAAACACTCCATCCATGCTTTTGTTCCGGCCCTCCGGTCCAGTTTAAGAACCCATTGTGGCCCTCGAGTCAGAAAGTTTGCCCACCCCTGGGTTAGGGAGACAGCCTTGCCTTGGAGAAGCACCCGGTCTGGTGAGAAGCAGTGCCGGAAACATGAAATCCTATTCCTGACAGACCAAGCACACCAGGAGCAGTCTTTTCTCTATATCGTCCATCACCTAAATACTGTGTTGAGGACATAACAGGTGATTAATAAACAGTTCTTGCAGTGAATTTCCAGAATTAAACCCCACAGTGATTACCGGCCAAATTACAAAGGAAACAAGTTACCTTCTGTCACTGTTAGGGGTCATATCACAGCCATAACAACTTACATGGTAGGAAGTGATGATAGATAAGAAGTTGAGAAGCATAATTCTTGTGGTTCAAATCAAAAGGACATTTGAGTAGACAGGATGAATCAGCACTGAGATTAGCTTCAACACCATAGATATTGCTTATTGGGGAAAAGAATGCTTCACATCTGAAAAAACAAGTGATTAGAAGGTTTGAATACTCATTGCAAAATTGTTTTTGTATGAATTCACACCCTTAATGGTTTCCTCTCAAAACTGGAGCTCATCAACTAAGCAGGTGTCAACTCGCTTATGGTTCTCAGAGCTGGAATGTGACCACAGAGAAAGAAATAAAAGGTCTCCTGAGGCACTTGCCATCTCCTCTGCATCGAGAATCATCCACATTTACTTATTGTCTCTACTCTTGTATCTCCTCTAAAGGACAACCCAGCTGGGTGAAACCCAAATTAGCACAGCACTGTCTCTTACGCATTTAAAATATGTAAAGAGAAATAATCACTGTTCTCATGCTACTTTCAAATGGCAATTTCCCTATTATACTGTTTTTAATAGAAGGCCTATTAGGTTTTATTTTTTTTTTTTAGGTAAAATGGAAAAAACACTCAACTGCTCAGTGAGGCAGAGTTAAAATATTCTGTAAACACAGCACTTACAAAACAGGCAGAACCCCTGGGCTACCAATTTGTGAACATACAACTAGTGGTACAAGACATGTGTATTGTCACAGATTCATGGCCCAAAAAAGGATTTTATTATTTTTTTTTCACAATAAACACTTCATAGCCAACCATTTTTATAAGTGACTAAGGGGAATAAAAAAAAAATGTATATAGCAGAATCAAGTACTGGTGTTCCCTGGGGCTTTCAGAAGCTTCCTACCACAGCTGCTGGGCACATTATTTTCCTTTCACTTACATTTTATAGTAGAGGGTCTTGGTTTCCTGGATGTATCTGCAAGATTTGTTAATCAAATGAATTCCAGTCCTAGTAAGGGTGTTGAGCGTGAGCAAACGTAGGACAGCATGGCTTCTGGGGATAGATTCTGCCAGGGGCAGCCAGTCTCCCTTGTTTGGGTATTTTTTTATGGTTAAAAACTCCATGCTGAAATTTTAGCTTCCTTTACCTTAATCCTGAGAAATCCCTGTCATAGATAATTATAGTTTAATATGAACTAGTGTAGCAAGGCCCATTGGATCAAAGTCTTTTCTGTGTCCCATAGTTTCAAAATGGCCCAACACACTTTGTTTACTAAACATAACTCTTCATCTCCCTGTGAATTGTTTTCCCCACCTCTGAAGTTCCAAACCACAACCCTCACCCCTCCTCCATAGCTCAGAATAGCATATAAACCTTAACTGACAGATTTTCCTGAGTCTCACATTTGTATGGAACCCCCATATGTAAATATGTAATAAATTTGGTTATTTTCTCCTGTTAATCTGTCTCATGTCTATTTAATTTTTAGACCAGTCAGAAGAACAGAGAAGGGTAAAAAGAAAATTATTTTTCCTCCCCTCTAGAGCCAACAGCATCTGATACCTTCCTGGGAACAGAGGGGTTGCACTCCATTCTTGTTTTAAATATAATAGTGCAAGTATGCAGGGAAAAGTCAAGGTTGCCATTATGCAAAGCCACTTTGTGACTCCACCCCCTGCCATGGAAACACATTCGTGGATAAGTGTGAGTGCATGGATGTAGCAGATGAGTATGTTTTCTGTGTGAGTGGGTTTGGGAAAGTATGAATTCCCATGAATATGTATGCATATGCTTGTGAGCTCTTGTGTATGAGTATGTGTGCACATTTTTGAGCGAATGTGTTTGTATGTTCATGTGTGTATGTGTGTTCATGTTTATTGTGTTTGTGTATTTGCTTGTGTGTCTGTGTAAGTGTGTGTTTATGACTGTGAGTAAAAATGCATTGTGTATGGGTGTGTAATTGTGTGTAGTTTGTGTTGTGTATGAGTATGTGGAGTGTAAATGTGTGCATGTGTCTGTTGCGCACATGTGTGAGGTTGGGTGTGTGTATGCCTGTATAGTTTGTGAGTGTAAATGTGCATTTGGGTGAGCATATCTGTGTGCCTGTGGGTGTATTTGTATATGGGTTTGTATTTTTGTGTGTAGGAGTGCACATTGTGGGTGTGTGTATATATGCATGCATACTTTTCTGTGTAAGTATTGTGTATATCTTTGTGATTGTATTTGTGTGTATGAGTGTGTGTGTCTGTGCATTGTTTGTGTGAGTGATGTGTGTATAATTGTGCCAATGTGAGCATTTGTGTTGTGACTGCGCAGTGTTTGAGTGTGCATTTGTGTGTATGTGAGTATATATGTCTGTGTGTGTGCCAGCGCTCGTGGGAACGGGTGTGCGCCGTCGCCACGCGCCTCCACCTCCCCGCAATCCGCCCCATTGCGCCCAATTGGCGCAGGAGCAGAGACAGCGGCCCCTGCGCGCCGGGTGAGCGGGCTGCACGCTGCTGTCCCCGC